TTTTTTATAGTTTTAGTAGAGATGGGGTTTCACTTTGTTAGCCAGGATGGTCTTGACCTCCTGACTTCATGATCCACCCGCATCGGCCTCCTAAAGTGCTGGGATTACCAGTGTGAGCCACCGAGCCCGGCCTATTTATTGATCGATCCTTCCTTCCTTCCTTCCTTCCTTCCTTCCTTCCTTCCTTCCTTCCTTCCTTCCCTCCTTCCCTCCTTCCCTCCTTCCCTCCTTCCCTCTCTCTCTCTCTCTCTTCTTTCTTTCTTTCTTTCTTTCTCTTTCTTTCTTTCTAAGACAGGGTCACACTCTGTCACCCAGGCTGGAGAGTGGTGGCACTATCATAGCTCACTGCAACCTTGATCTTCTGGGCTAAAGCAATCCTCCCCCCTCCGCCTCTCAAGTAGCTGGGACTGTAGGCACATGCCATCATCCCCAGATAATTTTTTATTAGTTTTTGGTAGAGACAAGGTTTCACTGTGTTGCCCAGGCTGGTCTCAAACTGTTGGCCTCAAGTGATCCTCCCACCTCGGCTTCCCAAAGTGCCGGGATTATAGGCATGAGCCACTGCATCTGGCCTCAGTTTTTCATATGCAATTTCCAGTACTCAATACAAATATAACCAAGCACAGGAGGTTATAATACGCATGAAAGAAAACAGAGGCAAACAACAAACAATGGAAACAGACCTGTAGGGTATTTAGTTAGTGGCATTTTCTGACTCAGAGTTTAAAATAAATATGCTTAATACATTCAAGGAGATAAAAGATGCATTGGTCCAAGGAGCCATAATAGAGAAGATTGATAAATCTGACTTTATAAAAATGAAAAGACTGTGTTATTAAGGGAAGAGTAAAAGGTTCAACACATTGTACAGAGTAAAAAAAAAGATTGTGCATATTTTGATTTTTTTAAATTGAGAAAAAATTCATCTAATATAAAAGTGATCATTTAAATCATTTTAAAGTGTATAAGTCCAGGTGCAGTGGCTCACGCCTGTAATGTCAGCACTCTGGTAGGCCGAGGCAGGTGGATCACTTGAGGTCAGGAGTTTGAGACCAGCCTGGCCAACATGGTTAAACCCCGTCTGTACTAAAAATACAAAAATCAGCTGAGCGTGGTGGCAGGTGCCTGTAATTCCAGCTGTTAGGGAGACTGAAGCACGAGAATCACTTGAACCTGGGAGACAGAGGTTACAGTGAGCCAAGATCATGCCACTGCACTCCAGCCTGGGCGACAGAGCAAGATTCTGGTTCCCCCCTCCAAAAATAGTGTACGATTCAATAGCTTTTATTATATTAAAAGTGTTATGCAGGGTGCCACATCTGTAATCCTAGCACTTTGGGAGGCTGAGACGGATGGATCATGAGGTCAGAAGGTCGAGACCATCCTGGCCAACATGGTGAAACCCCGTCTCTACTAAAATACAAAAAGTTAGCTGGGTGTAGTGGCGCATGCCTGTAATCCCAGCTACTCAGGCGGCTGAGGCGGGGGAATCGCTTGAACTCGGGAGGTGGAGATTGCAGTGAGACAAGAACATGCCACTGCGCTCCAGCCTGGGCAACAGAACGAGACTCCATCCCAAAAAAAAAAAAAAAAAATGTTGTGCAACCATCACCACTATGTAATTCCAGAACATTTTCATCACCCCCAAACAAAACCCTTTACCCATTAGCAATCACTCCCATTGGCTCCTTCCCCCAGCCCCTGGCAATCCTAATTTAGCTTCTGTCTCTATGGATTTGTCTTATATGAACATTTCCCATGAGTGGAATCATACAATATATGTGGCCTTTTGTGCCTAGCGTCTGTTCCTTGGCATGTTTTCAGGGTTCATCCATGGTAGCATGGATCAGTACTTTCTTCCTATTTTTAGCTAAATAATGTTACTTTGTATGGATATAGCACATTGTATTTAAGGGATTATATATCTGTACATGCATTTTCATATTCATCTGTGGTTATATTGATTTTTGTATGCTTGTAAATACATAGAATATTTCTGGGAATGATACCCAAGATACTTCTAACAGTGGCTGTTTCTAGGGACAGGGATTAGGGGAATAAGATCTGTGGGAGACGGAAAATAACTTTTCATTATTTTACCCCTTTCTACTATTTAAAATTTTATGTCAACTAAAAAAATAAGTTGTCTCTCCGTTTTAAAACTACTTTTATTTTTGAGATAGAGTCTTGTTCTGTTGCCCAGGCTGGAGTGCAATGGTGTGATCTCAGCTCACTGCAACCACTGCCTCCCGGGTTCAAGTGATTCTCCTGCCTCAGCCTCCCGAGTAGCTGAGACTATAGATGCTCGCCACCATGCCTGGCTAATTTTTGTATTTTTAATAGAGGCGGGGTTCCACCGTGTTACCCAGGCTGCTCTCAAACTCCTGATCTCAGTGATCTCCCCTCCTTGGCCTTCCAAAGTGCTGGGATTACAGGCGTGAGCCACTGTGCCTGGCCCTGAAACTGCTTTTTTAAAAAGAAATATTCTTTAAAGGTAGTATTTTTTTCCAACTTAAAAGAATGTGACTATTTTAAGTGGTTATTTAACCTGAATATATAAATGGAGAAACTGCCATCCGAGTTAATAATCTTGCATATTTAATACTGCAGTTGTAAATATAATTCTGATGCTATGGAAAGACAGCCTTATAGGCAAGGACTAGTATGAACAAAATGATTTTAGTCAATCCAAAGACCCAGAGAAACTATTTTCTTTTTTTTTCTTATGACTTGGTTCCAATGAATATTTTCATAATAATTTTTCTGTTGTTGCAATATATTCTCAGTGTATATTTGTTAATTTAGCTTTTTTAAAAACCAAAAATTCCCCTTCCAACAACAATTATTCTGATTACTACTACAAACGGACCAGAAAAGCTACAGTGACAAGCTAAGGTAACACTGAAGCCAGTGCTGGGAATCAATAGATTACATGTGGTGGGGGTGGTGGCTTACACCTGTAATCCCAACACTCTGGGAGGCTGAAGCAGGAGGATCATTTGAGACCAGGAGTTTAAGACTTGCCTGGGCAACATAGCGAGACCCTATCTCTTCCCCCCCACAAAAAAGGAAAGAAAATAGATTGAATATGCAAATATATATGAGCAATTATACAAAAGTATTTTTGCCTGTTTCTTTAAAATGTGACTAAAGGAAAGTTCACTTTCAAATTTTGATTCAAGTTATGGATTAAATGGATTTAGAATGCTTCTGTGGGAAAAGTACTTGGCAATCTATTAGGTTTTGGATAGACAGAAAATACGGGTCTCTGCCTCTACCAATCAATATCCAGGGGCCCTTTTCTTTCCTCCTAATTCTTATGTTGCTTCAAATCCTGTTTCCTGTCTCTTTAAAAACGTTATTTAATCATGAAAATTCTCAAAACTTAAATAATATATTTTGGGGTCTGGGATAGAAAATAACTATATTATTTTAATAGCTATAGAAATGGAAATTTCAGGACATCATGAGACAAGATTGGTCCAAAGGGCTCCACTTGCCCTTAATCCCATACTCAAAGCGGTATCTGAGCAATATGTAGATAAGACCCCTTTCTCGGCCTTCAGTAATCTAAACCAGTGCTGTCCAATAGAAATACAATGTGAGCCACATGCATAATTTAAAATTTTTTGATAGTCTTATTAAGACAGTTTTAATGTATTTTATTAATTTGGCATATAAAATATTGTCATTTAAATATGTAATTACATTAACAGTGATTAATAAGATATTTTACTTATTTTCTTCATACTAAGGCTTTGAAATCCAGTGTGAATTTTTCACTTGGAGGACATTTCAATTCAGACTAGCTCCAGTTCACATGCTCAAGAGCCCCGTGTGGCTAGTGGCTGCCATGTTGGACAACATAGGTCCAATATGGCAATAGGTCTAAATAGTTTTGACCTATTAAAATATGTTACATTTCTGTGGTAGTCACATCTCTGCTGTATTATATTTTGGAGTATGTATTTAGAATTTTTTTTTTTTTTTGAGGCAGAGTCTCGCTCTGTTGCCAGGCTGGAGTCCAGTAGTGAAATCTCGGCTCACTGCAACCTCCGCCTCCTGGGTTCAAGTGATTCTCGTGCCTCAGCCTCCGGAGTAGCTGGGATTACAGGTGTGCACCACCACACCCAGCTAATTTTTTATATTTTTAGTAGAGACAGGGTTTTGCTGTGTTGGCCAGGCTGGTCTCGAACTCCTGGCCTCAAGTGATCCACCCACCTCAGCCTCCCAAAGTGCTGGGATTATAGGTATGAGCCACTGCACCCAGCCATTGGAATATTTTATAATTTAAAAAAGGGAGAATGACACACTGGATTTAAAAACAGTCCCGGGGATAAAACAGAGCAAATCTAACAAAACAATAATCTCATAAACACTGTGACTGGAGGAGAGCAATGGGATGAATAGTCATAAATAGGAGACAGTCCAAGTGTGTTATCTGCATTTGGAATATGGTTTATACTTAGACTTTTATATAAATGTACTTGCCATTCTGAAAATTCTCGAGGCTGTACACCAAATATTGGGGCCACACCTGGGAGGCCTGACTCAGGAGCTTCTTAGAAGCTGGTGTGGCTGCCTCATGCATCTCCCAGCCCAGCAACACCTAGTTTCCATCCCAGGTGGCAGGATGTCCCAACAAATGCAGACTGTTGCTATTTTTCTGTCTCTTTCTCATTCTTCCTCTCCTTTTTCTTTTTCTCTTTTATTATTATGATCAGCTTTTTGTCGGCACGTTTCCTTAGGGCAAGGGCGTGCCTTCCTTCACTTCTCTTGGGCTCTAAGGACCTGGGATGATCATTCATTTATTCAGTTGCACACATCCACTGAGGGCTTATTATGTGGCAGACACTGTTAGAGTGATCTAATAATTGAGAGATTATCCTGAAATGCAGTGACCTGACACGTGCGCGTGTGCTCTACCTTTACAGTTTTCTATACAGTCATGTTTTTCTTCCTTGTTCATTACATCTATTTCCTCTGCTTCTCCCTCACAGATACTTCATGCCCGTTATGTCTTAGAGGTGCTATTTGAAACCAAGAAACTCCTGAAGCAAATGCCAAATTTCACTCAAATACAAACTTCTCCCTCCAAAGAGGTAACAGTCTGCGGTGAGTTTCAGAGCAGAGTTGTCAAATTAATATTTAGGAGCCTCTTGGTCCTACATCGTTTACCTAGCTTGAAAACTGTGTAAATTGAACTGTGTTAAGGGAAAAATGTTAATATAGAATTATCTATCATGATAACACTGTTCCCCATCTTGTCTTTGTTTTGCATACCAGCTGGCAGGAATTAATTATGTGAGAAATTAAAGAGCTCATAGCTTTTTATAAAGGCAGACAGCATTTTAATATGGAAAAACCACCCATGGGTGGAATAAGCATTCTTTGCCCTCTGTCTAGCTCTCATTATCTTTGTTCCACGTTGCTTTTTCTAGGTGGGCCTCTGCATACCACTTATGCTGGGAAGAGAAAAGCCCGTGGTAGGGTGGAGATTAAATTCTTCTCTGCCCTTGGCTGCTGTTTTAGATTTTTCCAACTGGTCTCTGCAGCTTTTAGAAGAGTAGGAATGTCCCAGAAATCTGTTTCTTGTTCTTTTAAATAACAAGATTGGAGATTTTGCTATCATATAGGCCAGCCTGGCAGGATATTGCTTCAAGAAACAGTACACATTGAAATTCATCACAGTTGGTGCTCAGCATGCTTGCAACTGTTTGAGAGTGGGGTGCATGGAAGGAACGGCAATTCCCTTAACTTCTAATTAAGCCTTTAGGTTACAAAACAGTGATTGTTATTTTCCAAATCAATTTTTAGCCTGCATTTCTCTTATTCTGGCAGGTAGAAGTGAATTTGACAATCTAATTAAACTACTTCAATTTCTAGCATCTGATAGTGGTGGCAGGGAGTTGATGTAGCAGTACCTACCTCGTGGCATGCCTTGACTCAGGGTTTTGAAGAGTCTCTAATGGCTCAATTCCAACCTCATCAGGCCATCATGTCTCTGACTAGCAGATGATGCATCTCAGCAGTAGGGGGCTTTTCTTCAAGGCCTCACTTGGCCTTACTTTTCATGGAAAATAGAGACCTTTGGGTTATGAGGCTCAGAAGGCCATGCCAACCTATGAAGCCTATGAGGCCAGGGCTAGGTTTGCTCTCAGGATATATAGAATAGCCCAAACTGAGATGGGTTCTCCTCCCCTGTGTTTCACTGGGAGCCCCTTCTTCCTTGCCTAAAAGGATCTGGAAGAAGACACACGTTAATTACAGGGCAGGGCAGTCCTAGAATCCCACAGTGTGAGAACTGAAGGTTCTCTAGTCTATTTCTTGCTCTTATGAGTGAAATTGAACCCCAGAGAGAAAAGTGGCAGGATCAGAATTAAAATCAGGTCTTCCATATCCCAGGTTAGAGGCAGGCCACTTCTGCTATCCGGACTCGCATTATGTACCTGATGGTTTATTTTCCATCATGAGGCAAAGATGAGGGAATGACTTAATTGGACAGCTCCATTAATTAAAGATTTCTATATCTTGGCATTTATTTCTAGTCTTTTTCACGTAGTACCATTGGTAGAGGGAAAAGACAAGGGCAGTGAGTTTTCTTAGCATGGGAATATTATTATTTTCCATTTTTAATAGCTCATTGAACTTCGAAACTTTTGCGATTATTTACAATTAAATTTAAAATTGGGACCATAGCTTCAAAACCATCTTCTGTTTAAGACCGTGTTAGGAAAGGGGGAGAGATTGTGATGAAAATTTACTATTATTTTAATTGTGAGATGCATTTTTTATATGTACATCTAAATATGCCCCATAGTTTTCGGCATGCATGAAATATAAGAGGCTTTTTAGTCTACAGTTATATTATAAATGATAACCAATTCCGCACTCATGATTTTGTTGGCAGTGGAAATATCTTTCTGTCCTTCTTTCCATGATACAAGTTTTTCTTTCGCTGTCCAACTAGAAGTTAAAAATATTTTATAGCCTCCACTTTTAGTATGCCGAAACAAGTTCATTTTTTAGCATGTCAGCTATAATAGTCCTGTATACCCAAGTCTTTGAGAGACAAGTCACCCTGAAGAAAATTAGGAAAATTAAATAAGTAAAAAGATATATTAAACTAAGAGTCCTCCCATCTTTATGTCCTTAGATTTAGAGTGAGACCATATGAAAGCAATGAGATTTAAGCATGCAGTGACATTAATATGCTAATAATATTGTAGTAATATTTTATAAATAAGTGCTGGTGATATGTAATTTCTATTTTATTATTCTCAGTATATTTGGAGTCTTCTGTTGCATATATTTGGTTAATCTTCGTTGTGGGATTTTAAGCAAACTGAGGGAAAAGTATTCCTAAATTAAATTCTATACTAATTAAGTTGGATACAAAGAATAAAAATTTATGAGCAGAACTTATGAAAGATATTTTACTTAGAAATAGTTTTTTTGTTTTTTTTTGAGACAGAGCCCAGGCTGGAGTGCAGTGGTACAATCTCAGCTCACTACAACCTCTGCCTCAAAGTGGTTCTCGTGCCTTAGCCTCCCGAGTAGCTGGGAGTACAGGCATGTGCCACCATGCCCAGCTAATTTTTGTATTTTAAGTAGAGACAGGGTCTCACCATGTTGACCAGGCTGGCCTCGAACTCCTGGCCTCAAGTGGTCCTCATGCTTCAGCCTCCCAAAGTACTGAGATTACAGGCATGAGCCACCATACCTGGCCTTATTTTTAAATTAATGGCTTCAGATACTCATATGATTTCCCCTAGATGGCTTTCATTTTTTTGCTGTGTCTCATCAAAAAATGTCAACTATCTACTCACAATTTTTAAACTTCAGATGCTACTGCTGGAGTATATTGAAAATATGGCTTTAAAAAGCTATGTACTTAGCCAAGAAACGTATTTATTGAGTGCCTCTTATCATTGGGTACTATGGTAGGCACTTGGGGATTCAACACTGACTGAAATAGATACTGTTGCTGCTCTCCTAGGGATTACAGTGTGGGCGTATAGAGTAATTGCTAAGAGGCTGAGGGGTTTTTTTTTTTTTTTTTTTTTGAGACAGGGTCTCACTTTGTCACCCAGGCTGGAGTGTGGTGGCATGATCACAGCTCATGCGGCCTCAACTTCCCAGGGTCAGGTAATCCTCCCACCTCAGTCAGCCTCCTGAGTAGCTAGGATCACAGGTGCCTGCCTCCATACCTGGCTAATTTTTATTTACTTATTTATTTTGAGACAGAGTCTTGTTCTGTTGCCCAGGCTGGAGTGCAGTGGCACGATCTCAGCTCACTGCAACCTCCACCTCCTGGGTTCAAGCGATTCTCGTGCCTCAGCCTCCCGAGTAGCTGGGATTACAGCCGTGTGCCACCATGCACGGCTGATTTCTGTATTTTAATAGAGACAGGGTTTCGTCATGTTGACCAGGCTGGTCTTGAACTCCTAGACTCAAGCGATTCATCTACCTCGGACTCCCAAAGTGCTGGATTAACAGGTGTGAGCCATCATGCTGGGCCAAGCTTGAGGTTTGAAGTGAGTTAAAGTTGGGTTTGAATTCCAGCTCTGATACTTGGTGGCTGAGTAACTTTGCTTAACTTACTTAACTACTCTGAGCCTCATTTGTAAGATGAGAATGATGAAGATAAAACCCATCTCACAGAGTGGTTATTAGGATTGAACAAGGTAAAGGTCATGTAAAACCCTTAGCACAGTGCTTGGCCCTGTGCAAATTACTGCATATAGAAAACTGACTGCATATAGGAAACTGATCATGATAGCATGCCCCCACTATAGGAGAGGAAGAAAAGAGTGCTATGGAGACAAATTGCCTGTCAAATTAACATTGTCATAGGGTAAAAACCCAATGCCCTGAGAACACTTGGAGTGGATCAGCAGTATTTCACTTTTGTAAGTCTGTAACAAAACGGGCATTGCATCTTGCTTTCTACCTAGTACTGATTTTTCATTTGCACTGCAGGTGATTTGCATGGGAAACTGGATGATCTTTTTTTGATCTTCTACAAGGTAAATGATGATTTTGCTAAATATTAGCATTTTTCTTGGGGGAGGGCAGTCTTAGAGCAGATAGCAAGATTAGTTTTACTAGAGATATGTACAAATGCAGATGTGATGTAACTGTTTTTAACCAGGAAGCTCAAAGATTTGTAGAGCCATATCTTTTTTTTAACATACATCTCATAAATTTCAAAAAAATTTTTAATTTGGGTCTTCATTCTACATTATCGTTGTCTATATATCCATTAGGATTAGTACCTGATTGTATTTATTGTCTTTATTACATCATAAATGTCTAGATGATACAGGATGGGGAGGGAAGTAGTCTGTTTTATTTTATTCAGGAATGAGCATGTCACATACCAGTCTTCTCTTCCAATGCACACTAATTATGCATGAGTGGAGTTGCCTATAATAAGGAATAGTTCCAGCATGCTCTCTTTCCTCCCCTGATTCACCATCCATGGGCTCAATTGCTCTTCCAGTGCTGTGCCTTCTCTTCATTTATTGCATTTGGCTTGTGAGAGCCAGCACAGAGGGCACAAAACAGATCGGCTGGCATGGAGTTTCTTGGATTTTTTTTTCTCTCTGAGCCAAGAGTTGCAGCCTGAATGTTTGCTTTGGGGCTGACTAACTGCATGTAGAAAACTGATCCTGAGGTCCCTGCCCTCACAGTGGTACCCCTTTACATTGGTCTTCTGAATGTCTATTTTTGATTAATGCATTTATTGTTCACCTACCCCTGTCATCTCCACAACTATGTCAAATAATTGGGCATAGCATAGGTGTCTCAGATGGGTTGAAAGAAAATATATTCTGATTATTAATGTTACCAGAAAGAGGTCCCAATCCAGACCCCAAGAGAGGGTTCTTGGATCTCATGCAGGAAAGAATTCAGGGCGAATCCATAGAGTAAAGTGAAAGCAAGTTTATTAAGAAAGGAAAGGAATAAAAGAGTGTTTACTCCATAGACAGAGCAGCCCTGAGGGCTGCTGGTTGCCCGTTTTTATGGTTATTTCTTGGTGATATGCTAAACAAGGGGTGGATTATTCATGCCTCCCCTTTTTAGACCGTATAAGGTAACTTCCTGAGATGCCATGGCATTTGTAAACTGTCATGTGCTGGTGGGAATGTAGCAGTGAGGATGACCAGAGGTCACTCTTGTTGCCATCTTGATTTTAGTGGGTTTTAGCTGACTTCTTTACTGAAACTGTTTTACTAGGTTGGTGCAAAAGTAATTGCGGTTTTTGCCATTACTTTTAATGCTCTGGTTCAAATACCTCTAACATTATTGTTACCAGACCAAACTGAGGCTGGGGCTGCTATTTCTTGTGGCCCAATAACAAGATGCAGATGAACTGCGGAGGAAGAGAGTTTTTATTTCTGCAAATGGCTACAGGGAGAAGGCCTGGAAATTATCGCCAGGCCAACTCAGAATTACAAAGTTTTCCAGAGCTTATATCCCTTCTAAGCTATATTAAGTGTGCATTCATCTAAAGACATAAGTGATTGACTTCTATTAATCTATAAGTTCTGAGTCCTGAAGACCTTCCTCTGGCGTCTCAGTAAATTTACTAATCTAAATGGGTCCAGGTGCTGAGGTGATTACCCTTATCTTGTCTCCTGCTAAATCATGGAGGTTTGTGTGTGTGTGTGGGGGGGGGGGGGGGTTCCTTCAGACCTCCAGTAAACTTGTTTGTGGAGGTCTGGGGAGTTTCTTCAGAACCCCAGTAAAACTTGTTTAATCCTAAATGGGTCCTGTTAAGAATTCCTTCATTATCTTGCCATGCTTTAAGGCCTAGGAAAGGCCTAGGCAAAACTCTTGGTTGGCCTTTGTTACATTCCAGCCTTTGTATAGGGGACTGGCTCCTTCAGCTTTTACTGTTTAACTTAACCACGCAGTCAGTACTGAAACAGTTGTAATGGAGGCCTGCGTTAGTGAGGCCTGGCCTGCCACATTATGATGACCAACCAGTTCCACCTTTGAGGCTGTGAGAGCTTGAGTGAGCCATACAACCTCCATGAACTGCAAATTTTTTTTTTCAATTGCAATATTATCTTGAACTTCCACCCCATAAGAGGTTGTCTTGTGGATAAAATCAGCATCCCAACGCATTTTAAAAATAATAAGCTATAATAGAAATATAAGGTTTTCAATTCATGCATTAGACTAGCAGCTTGGAAGGGAAGGGGACAGGGCAAACCAGGAGTGGGTGGAGCCAGCCCTTAAGAAGAGGTTGCACTGAGACTGCAGTGGGCTCAAGCCAGGACATAGAGTGTGACTGCCAGAGAGTGAAGTCCGAGGAAGTAGGAGGTGTCCTGGGTAGCAGGTTGGTGTAGGAAGTCCAGGCAAAGGTTTGCTGGCAGGGAGCCGACGGGGCTGGTGAAAGCAATTCTGGACATCAGCCACAGAATCCAAGCTGGATAGGGAAGAAAGAGAAGCCAGCAGGGGCTAGTCAACTGGAAGAAGCAGGAGGATAGTAGGACTGGAATGCTGGCTGACTGCGTCAGGGAGCAGGCTGACTGCACTGAGGGCCTTAGGAGGTGGGATGGTGGGAACAGCAGCGGGAACAGCCCTGGGGGAGGGGAAGCCCTGGGATGGAGCCTAGAAAGTGGGTGGCCCAAGCGAGCAAAAGAGAATAATGGCGATGGGGTGGGCAAGGACCTGGAAAGCAGGTGTGTTCAACAGTCGGTGGCGCCACCTGGACCCAGATGAGGAGCAGGGAAAGGAAGCCTAGTCAGAGGTCATGGGCCTGAAAGGAGGGTGATGGGGTGTTGCTCTGTGAGCAGCCCTGTGGGCAAGCGAAGCCTGCCCTGCTCCTGGGCCTGAGGTGTGTGTCCTGGGGAGGTGCAGGTCCTTTGCCTCAGAAGGGCATGAGTCTGGAGTCCCTCTGCGCTCTGGAGGGAGCCCAGGCCTATGGAGGAAAGAAGGCTTTCTGAGTAAATTCAAGGCAGAAGGGGGCTTCATTGACCATGAGATGAGGATTCTACTGGCCCCACGGCAGTGCCATGGGAAAGGGGGAAGGATGGACGGGGGAATGGATGGACGGGGGATGGGATTTATTTAACTTGGGACGGAGCTCCACACCATATGTTCAGAAGTTCAGCCCTGCTATTGTTGACAATTACAGTGTGAGGAAGGAGGAGGGGGCGGGGTATGTGAAGAACAACAACAAACCTGGGCATTCTTTCTCTAGAGGCTTGGGAAATACATACAAGGGAAATAGTTGAGTAAATTAAATTGGGAACGTCGTCACTAAATTCCAAGGCATTAGAAAAGAAAATTTCTTTATTTCGTGTGAAGGTGGGATCAGGGATAAGACTCGGGAATAGACAGATGAGAAAAGAGATTTCTAACATGTTTCTTTAATTCTGTCTGCAAAACTATATGGAACATAGAAAACTGGAAGGTGCCAATGTAAAGACTGAACAGGAGGAGGTGGGTGGTAAGAAGTACTATAAAAGGAACTAAAGGTGAAAATATAGCATTCAAATGCAAGCAAGATATATTTGGAGAGCTAACCAATGACAGTGCTCAGGAAATGGAGATTGCTAACCCAGTGATGAAAGACTAGGGCACTATTATATTTGGGATGGATTTGGGTTGAGAGGTGAGGGGGATGTCTGGAAAACAGACGTGTGCAAGAGCCATGGATTAGAATTCTGGCAGGCATGAGTGAGAAGAAGGTAAAATGCATCCTCGACATAGAATGAACCATGTACACCAGAATCTCAAAATTGCTTGGTTTAAGGGGGAAACTGAGGGAAAAGCCATTGATGACAGCAAGTTTCCACTTTAAGAAACTGAAAAGAGATCTAAGGTACAACATGGGGACTATAGATAATAAAATTGTACCATATATGGGATTCATGCCATATGAGTAGATTTTAGCTAATGCTGCCACAAAAAACAAAAAATAGGTAACTATGTCAGATGATGGATATGTTAGTTTGCTTCACTATAGCAACCTTTTTACTATCTGTATGTATTCTGTAACATCATGATATATTACACCTTAAATGTACATGGTAAAATTTATTTTTTAAAAAAGAAGAAAGTAGCAACAATGATAAAGCAATGGGGAAAACAGCTGATCAACAATATCATTCGTATTTTCAACAGTGGTACAGCAAAAAACCCGGAAACTATATTATTATTTTAAAGGAATTTGTAATAAGTGAATAAATACATTGCTTTCATTTATTTAAAAAAAGAAAAAAAAGGCCGAGTTTGGTAGCTCACACCTGTCATCACAGCACTTTAGGAGGCCGAGGTGGGTGGATCACTTGAGGTCAGGAGTTCGAGACCAGCCTGGCCAACATGATGAAACCCCGTCTCTACTAAAAATACGAAAATTAGCCAGGTGTGGTGGCATGTGCCTGTAGTCCCAGCTACACGGGAGACTGAGGCAGGAGAATCGCTTGAACCCGGGAGGTGGAGGTTGCAGTGAGCCAAGATTGCACCATTGCACTTTGGTCTGAGGGACAAGAGCAAAGCTCCATCTCAAAAAAAGAAATAAAAAAGGAAAAAGAAACTGGAAAGGTAGTGTAGTTAGTGGTGTCTGAGAAGGGAGAATGACATGGAGAGCTTGGGGTGATGGTGCTTGGTCACTTAGCTTATAGCAAAAGAATGTCCTAAGTTAAAAGCAGGAAAATGAAAGGGCAGGACACAGAGATATCTGGGAAGCCCCGGCCCTCTGATGATCTCTGACTTGCCAAAGTCGACATTTTGCCCTTTTCTGTCTCATTTATTTTTGTCTGCAGTTTAAGTGCAGAATGACGATAGAGTGCATGAATGAACTGCAGCCTAAAAGCATGAATACAAACTGTTCTGGAAACAGTGTTTCTATATAAATAAAATGACAGTGTTACGCCACATATCCCGATGTCAAACTTCTGTCTACTTTACTTATCTTCACTTATAACTCATATGTCCCAAACCCAGAAATAAGTAAAAAGGGTTTCTGAGCACTTGAAATTGTTGTCAGGAATCCAATGAACCCTACTCA